GAGTCTGCAACAGCTCTGTAGACTCTGCTGTCACCACTTTTCTACACAGAGATCTTGCATTCCACTCATACTCTTCCTTCTTGATGGTCCTGGAATCACCTGTTCCTGTAATGAAACATTCACTACTCTCACCTTTTAGTTACACATCTTCAACAATTACAGTTGTGACAATCACAATTAATCCTGCTATGACTCACAATTGAATCATAAAATCCTATCACAATCATAGCTCATGCCCTTTTAACAGACCCATCTGGAAAAGAGGAAAACTATTCAATGTTGATTCTACCTTACACCCCTCACTCTGAAACTAAGCACATTCATGTAAACTTGTAAGCCAGTCACTTCATGCCTTTATAGACTTCTAGCCATTTTTGATAGCCAACATCTAAATTTCTTGTCCCTACCAACCCAGTATACTGAGGAAACAAACTTGTTCCTTGATATGAAGGATCCTTCCATTCTGGTTAGAATTTTGAGCAACTACATCCATAAGCAAAACTCTAGTTCATCAAACCATGACACTTGTTCACAGTTGGTTGGTTGGTTGGTTGGTTGGTTGGTTGGTTGGTTGGTTATGTGCCATGGAGTTGGTTCTGACAGTTTTATTTTCATCTGGTCAGCTAGCCATCCAAGCTAGGTCAAATGGGTACTAGCTGCAAGATTGGGAGTTCACACACACCACTCTGCACTTCGGACCAGCTGGCCATTTCACTCTCAGCCCTACTCCACAGGGGTAGGTCAGTGCCTATGGGCTCAGGAGTTCATACATCTTCCTAAATTTCAGGCCAGCCAGCCGTTCCTATTCTCTCTCTCATCTCAAATGAACAGGTGTCAAAGGAACATGGTCAAACTCAACTCATGCCTTCATTGCTGCATTTTCCCCACTTTCACTCACTGGTAGACCCAGGTGGTCACCAGTGAGCATACTTGACTGCACATGGATTCCCTTTAACTTTCAGTCCTAGAAGGGGTTTTCCTTCATGGGCTGATTTTTCTTGCCTTGATGCCTCCAAAAAAAACCGGTTTTTTTGAATTTCAACCGGCTTACCGTTCCCTTTTTTTTTTGTGCAATTTTTTTTCAGTATGAATCTTCTGTTCTTCCAGGAGTTCTGGGTTGGTCTGCATGTGTTTTCAAGTGGGAATGTCTCAACTCAGAAAGTTCTGGGTAGGGCTCAGGATTCCACTTAGGTCCCAAGCTCTACAAAGGCTTAACAAGAAGCCTATTTCCCTGGGCAAATTCTAACACTCCTTTCAGCAAATCCAGTAAGTTATCAGCTAAAGATGGGCTTACATCATAATCCCCAGTATTTATTTCTAAAACACATAAATGTCTATTTTACAATAATAGGCAAGGGAAAGCAATATCCACAAGATAGTCTACTTAAACACATAAGCATTGTTTTTGCCCTCCTTAACCCATTTAACCTACATTTCAATCCATGTATCTACTCACAGAACACTTGTTCCAAGGTTGCATATAAATCACTATTTACCTCTATCCTATTTAGCCCATACATACCTCCCTGAAGTTTTCCCCTATCTTCACTGTTCATCTGCCACCCTCCCTCTTCTTGAGCATTGCCTTCCCCTTTCTTATATATTACCCTCCCTGTCACTGAGCTAACATGTGTCTACCATCTAGCCAATAAATTACTCTCTCCTCCCTCCCACCCGTGGTAACCATCAAAGAATATTTCTTTCAGTATGGGAACATTTTCTTAAGCTTTACAATAATGGTCTCATACAATATTTGTTCTTTGTTATACACTAATTTCACTCAGCATAATGTCTTCAAGGTTCATTTACATTATAAGGTCTTTGGCAGATTCATCACTAGTCTTCAAGTTTGCATCTCTAATAGCATAGTGGTTACAAGTCAGGCTGCTAACCTCAAGGTCAGTAGTTTGAAACTACCAGCTGTTAAGTGGGAGAACGATAAGGCTTTCTGCTCCCATAA